CCACATTCTTGTAAGTTTCCACTACCCAGTGTAAAAACAAGTATTCATGGTTTTTTATAAAACATCGTAACCCCAGTAACAGCGTTTTCATTGGCTTCTGTGTTTTTGATGTATTCCAGCAAACGATGTGTTGATTCGCTGTTTTTGCTTGTGACGCAACTTTTACGTATGATAATAAAAGAACTGATCACGCCCACGGAGGTCGGATTTTCTTTGGACTTGCTGAGCTTTGAGCAAAGCTAAGTAACAAGAATTTCTCCTCTTTGCAAAGTGACGGTCAAAAAAGCTCATTCGCTTCTGTTGTCATTGATTTAATGTTCGGCCGGGTTTTGCTGTGTTTCTCTGAGTTCCTAGGTTAAAAAACCCGGACACAGACATGCGTCCGAACTTTAAGCCCTGCAAATAATTATAAGTTGGTCTGTCGTATGGTGTTCACAAGTCCACTCTGTCCTGAGATGACTCGTGACAATCACTCTGCACATCCATTAATCACAGTTTCATCATGTAAAGATATGAAATTACATCATTTTAGGATCAAAACAAGTGTAGAGCGTTAAAGAATCAGTGTTAAACAGAAAACATGTTCATACTGACCATTATTCCTTTATGACAGCAGTGGAAGAATGAAACATCCTACTTTTACTTTGTTTCCAGTTAATTTGGAAAACTGTTTAACCATCTAACATATTGTATATTTAAGAACAAACACACAGAAACTATAACCCTGCTGTAATTTATTCAGAGTGTTTACTGAGGCCCTTTGTTGCCTAATGGTCACGTCTGCTTCTACTGTCAGATGACAAACTAAATACACAAGAACAAGATTTAAAAAGCAGCAGCAACAACCAGCTGATAATAAATCTAGACTGAAATAGAGACACACAAATTAAATCTTTTATTCTTGCTGGTGTTTGGTAGCAAAGTTTCTCCTGTTTATAATGAAGCTCTACCACAATGTAGGACCTCAGATAGCATTGATTTTACATTCAGCCAGAAGAAATAATGATAAACAGCCGTTTGTATTTCCTCTGCTTGTACAGCATCATTAGACAGAAAGGCTTTTATAACTCTTGCAGGGTTTCAGCTTAGATTGCAGAAGGTTTCACAGAACCTGTAGCCTCCAGCATTTGTCTCATTGTCAGTCTGCTACTATTTTAAGCTTTTTATGACACTTACAGAGGTAGAAGAAACACATGGGAGAAAAATCCAGATGTTCAATGAATGCACATATGTGACCCGTCACATCGAAACCAGGATTAAGTCCTAATGTTGTACATGGAGAAATAGGCAAATGTAGTGTTTTGACCAAAATGTTAACAAAAACTGCATTTTGTCAAAATGTAATGAATAAAAGTCTTATTAATGTATCATTTGAATGAACTGTCTGAAAT